ATCGTGGGTTTGAATCCTGGCGGGGTGAGGATGTTGATTATATGTAGAAGTCCGTGTGCTTTATTGGGCTAATGAAATATATATGGATCCTCGTGTTTCGAAGCCAGATTTGGTAAAACGTTGCTCTGATCACCTAAGAGGCACGGGTGGTCCCCATTTGAGGTTCACGGCGCCATAAGCTCGTTGAACAGGCTTTGTTTGAAATATAACAGAGTCTAGGACTGCTTTTAGTGTCCTGGTGACCCAGAGGTAGCGTTCCCCGGTCACAATTATAAGATCGTGGGTTCGAATCCTGGCGGGGTGAGGTGTTGATTATATGTAGAAGTCTGCATGCCTTATTGGGCTAACGAAATATATATATGGATCCTCGTGTTTCGAAGCCGGATTTGGTAAAACGTTGTTCTGATCACCTAAGAGGCACTGGTACCTAAGAGGCACTGGTGGTCCCCATTTGAGGTTCACGGCACCAAAAACTCGTTGAACAGGCTTTGTTTGAAATATAACAGAGTCTAGGACTGCTTTTAGTGTCCTGGTGACCCAGAGGTAGCGTTCCCCGGTCACAATTATAAGATCGTGGGTTCGAATCCTGGCGGGGTGAGGTGTTGATTATATGTAGAAGTCCGCGTGCTTTATTGGGCTAATGAAATATATATATGAATCCTCGTGTTTCGAAGCCGGATTTGGTAAAACATTGCTCTGATCACCTAAGAGGCACGGGTGGTCCCCATTTAAGGTTCACGGCGCCATAAGCTCGTTGAACAGGCTTTGTGTGAAATATAACAGAGTCTTGGACTGCTTTTAGTGTCCTGGTGGCCCAGAGGTAGCATTCCCCAGTCACAATTATAAGATCGTGGGTTCAAGTCCTGGCGGGGTGAAGTGTTGATTATATGTAGAAGTCTGCGTGCTTTATTGGGCTAATGAAATATATATATATATATATATATATATATATATATATATATATATATATATGCAAATAAATCACTGTCGGTGAGCGTGATCTAGGTATATGCTGATAACCACAAGGAAGGAAGAAAACACGAAGTTCCCAAGAGCTTTCGTATAATTCACATCTTCAGGGGTGAGTATAGACTAAAGAGAAGTACAAAACAAGGTGTATATATACAGAGGAGCGTGAGACCAGGTCCACAATGGTCAGGTATTGGGTAATGACCCTACTAATCTTTAAATAGCACGGCAACGGTCGGTAGTCAGGTCAGAGGGTAAGGTGACCCAACCTTCTCACCTGGTTACAAATCTTCTTAATTACAAAATTGTCCAGTTTGTACATGCCATTACTCAAATTCATGTTGAATGCTTCGGTATGTTTAATGAGACTAGATTCTATGATGTTCCTACTATCAATTGAATTACAAGGTAATATTGAGGAGGCATTATTCCAGTCAATGCAATGCTTGTTATCCCTCAAATGAACAAACAGAGCATTGGATTCCTGGCCTGTCCTAACACTATATTTATGTTGTTTAAGTCTAGTTACAAGATCTTTACCTGTCTGGCCTAAGTAAAACATATTACATTCCTTGCAAGGAACTTTATAAATGCAACACGATTGGTTGCATTTATAAAGTTATAAAGTTATAAAGTTGCAACTATATCTTGCGTTTATTGCAACTATATCTTGCGCTATTACAACTATATCTTGCGTTATTGCAACTACATCTTGCGCTACTCAGGCCGCACCTCGATTATGCTGTTCAGTTCTGGTGCCCCTATTATAGAATGGATATAAATTCACTAGAGTCGGTGCAGAGAAGAATGACAAAAATGACTCCGGGACTTAGAAACCTTCCATATCAGGATAGGTTAAAGACACTTAACTTGCATTCCCTAGAAAGACGAAGAGTGCGGGGAGATATGATAGAAGTATTTAAGTGGGTGAAAGGAATCAATAAAGGGGATATAGATAAAGTTCTTATAATATCCGAGCAGGATAGGACTCGGAGCAACGGATTCAAGTTGGATAAGTTTAGGTTTAGGAGGGAATAGGAAGAAACTGGTTCACAAATAGGGTGGTGGACGAGTGGAACAAGCTTAGCAACTTTGTAGTAAGTGCGGGAACTCTGGAAAGTTTCAAAAGGAGGCTAGATAGATTCATGGATGATAGAGAGTGGTAGTAACTCGACAGGAGCTGCCATGCACAGGCCAACCGGCCTATTGCAGACTCCTTATATTCTTATATATATATATATATATATATATATATATATATATATATATATATATATATATATATATACTTTCCCTCACCCTAGCAAACTAGTTAGCATAGCATAACCAAACAGCCTCGCAAGGACCAATAGGCCTGTATATAATGTGTGTGCACGTGCTAAAATGCCCTAGTATATTTTAATAATGTCTCATTGTTCATGGGTTTTCTTACAGTGTGGCTGTAAGTTTTCTATTTTGTCAACCTGCCAGTTCAACAGGACTGCTAACCATCCTCCCAGCAATTCATATGCCATCCCAGACCCACAGCCTATATGTATGGTGCAAGACTGCAGTCCAATACATACAAGTCAGGCAGTCAAGCGTTGGTTTGAGGCGCACCCGCAGATTATTCTATTAGACTGGCCCTCTAAAGGAGCCGATTGTAATCCAATAGAAAATCTATGGGCGCATATGGTTGTTGAATGGGATGTTGAGGAGAAAACGAGGGAGGCAGTGAGGAAACACGCACACAATGTGTGGGAGGGAATAAGGAAGAGGCCGAACATCTGCAGCAATCTGGTAGATTTTATGCCCACCAGATTGCATGAAGTTATAGCAGCAGATGGAGGTTGGACACGGTATTAACCTGTGGTCAAGAATTAAATCTCCGCCCACGACGGTGCCTTGTAGGGGGTGGCGGGGGAGTTAGCTCTCTGGTGTAACCTCGTTGGGGCTACATAGAATTCGTTTCCTAACTCTAGGGAATTTGTCCAGGTATTTTACTATGTGGTTTTACGTCACTTCGCATAAATATGCTTACAAAATCTATGCATTAATATGCATAACTCTTGGGAATCTGTCCAGACATTAAATATATGTTATACTGTATACTACAATAATCACATAGATATATTTACAATGTTTATGCATAATAAATGTGAAAAATATTTTTTGGGTTTCAATTAACCAATAGTCATGCCTGCAAAACAATCTTGATGCTCTAAGTGCATGTATGTGTTAGATAACGAGTAACTGATCCACATTATTTTGGTAAATAAAGAAATGAAAAGCAAGCACTTAGCCATATGAATATAGTTACACGGAAGAAGGGAAATAAGGATGAACCATGGTTTTGATGGAAACAATGTGCTCTGGGACGATGCTCACAATGAAGAATGGGAGAAACCTCTTTATGAAACATCTTACCTTCTAAGGATGAAGTTTAATGTTATAGAACACACACACACACACACACACACACACACACACACACAGTGTAACTTTGTGTGACGCGTTGTCTGACTTGGGGAGGCTTTGAGCGAACCATTCACTTGATATTACAATTTATGTATCCTTCCTGTCCATGATTTACAACAATAACTGTAGGGTAAAAGTTACAATATTATACTAATAACACTGTCATGTATTGATACTATGACTAGTTACCAAGATACAGAGCACGATGAACATAACACGATAATGATAGTGAAGCCTGGAAGGGTTCATATCATAACTTGTGTGTTCGTGCGTATGTTGCCCCGTGAGAGTTACCATGGGCCTCCGTGTGCCCAGGTGGGATGGTCAAAGTATTACACTATAAGTGTGTCAAATGAGGAGTGACTGATCCACATGTAATTTAAGATTTTTGAAATATGTAGTTAAATTAAACACGATTTTTCATATAGTTATGCGAATGATGGGAAGCATCGTGGTCTGGCACACACACACACACACACACACACACACGTTGTGTGGAGTCACTGGGTGGTTTGGAAGTGTTTATTTCCATTCATACTTTCGTAACTACAACCTATGGTATTTTTTCTTCGTGTTCATATATAATGAAGATAATGCAGAGTATAAAATGTCATATACAATATTTATACATAATGTCATCTATACAGCCGTACTATGACTGTATGTGTTCGTGCTTATGTTGCCTCGTGATAGTTAGAGTGGGCCCCCGTCCAGAAAGGACACTGTTCTAACGTTCAGTACCGACCCAGGTGGGCTGGAGATTATGGTTTCCGAGTTGTACATACACCACTTTCTTACCACTAAAGCAAGAATTATTAATCAAGCCATTCCAAATAGGCTGTAATTATTATTTCGTAACTACGTTTAACAATCACGAAGAGAGAAAAAACACCATTAATGGAAAAAAATTATAATGATATTTATTTATTTTCATAGATACACCAAAAATGTTACTGGAAAATAGGAAGTCAACATGGCGCATTTCTTTACTTTTGTCACAAATCCTATGAGATAAAAATGATCTCACTTCATAAATATGAAAAAATATGTGTGCCTATATATATATATATATATATATATATATTTCTGCCTTGGGTCAGGGTCTGAACTTTATGGTAGTTGATTATATATAAATATATATATATATATATATATATATATATATATATATATATATATATATATATATATATATATCCATATAATTTGATACAATGGTATTTGGAGACCTAGCTTTCCTGTTTTATTCAAGATGTCTAATAAAGACAAAAGCTAAGGTGTTCTGTTTTTCCTGTGATTTTATTATATATATATATATATATATATATATATATATATATATATATATATATATATATATATATATATATATATATATATATATATTCATTTTTAGTCCATATAACATTTTGAATTGAATCCTCGACCTACTGTGGGCTGGTCCCACACAGTAGGTCGAGGGTTCGAGTCCTGGCTGGTGAGTTGTTGATTATATATATATATATATATATATATATATATATATATATATATATATATATATATATATATATATATATAAAATTAGTGAACTTTTCTACAGGTACTGAAAAAGTTAGTGATAATAATGAAAGTTCCTCAAGAGTGGTCCCCGAGTGGTGGTATACACATTGCTTCTTCAGGAGTGTGTCAGACATGGACGAGTTTATGTCCTCCACCTGTAGGACTGTTGGTTAACTTCACTGCCAGTAGAGTCTTAACCACCCCATCTGATTGGTGGTCTCCTGCCGCCTGGACGTGGTCTCAATATCACTCCCTGTATGAGACGCCAGAAATATTGTCTTTATCTTTACAATGATATAATAATAAAATAAGTAGTCCAGGAATAATATATATATATATATATATATATATATATAGAGAGAGAGAGAGAAAAAAAAATATGCCGTGTTTCATCCTAGGTGTCGTGTACTATCATGAAATAGCAAAGTTATACCTTAAGTGGACTAGGTTAGGTTAGGTTAGGTTAAGTATTGTAAGAAACTTTTCATTGATACGTTTTAAGGTCAAACTTATCATTTATAGCTAGATAGAAGTTATTACTAATTTGCAATTATCCCTATTTAGTGTAATTTATACGTATACAGAATTGCGTTCCTGTAGTAGCGAGGTTGAATTAAACAAATCTATATGTGTAAAATTCTTGGTATTTTGGGAACGTAATTAAAAAAAAAAAGTTTCGTTAAGAAATAAGAATAACAAAACGGTATATTGTTGGTGTTAACATTACCGGGCCTGGGGCTGAAGCGTTCCATCCCCCAATATATTCACTAACATCAATTGGAGGGGAAGGTCCAACATCCCAAGCCTTGTTGCCGCCACCACCACCGCTGACACCTGCAACCCACGAACACTGTACACGAAGACAGGGAACAGAATACATCCATTCTCCACAACATTCGTAAATGACTTTCCTGACACCAGTCCCGATAACAGAGTCTTCTTCATATTACTACATGACAATATCTTATTAACTAAGACACTCGTATAAGATTAAGTATATATTCTCATGACAGTTCTTAACAAGTATAAACAACAGTACAGTATAGAAATAATAGAGAGAACTAGTCATACATACTTACCACCTTGTGCAGCTGTGAGCGAGAAGCAGAGAGCCAACAGCCAGGCCCACGTCAGGTAGTTCAGGTAACGAGCCATCTCCTTCACAGTGTCCAGGTAGATAAAGTATATGATGTCAGCTCACTGTGTCCAGGTAGATAAAGTATATGATGCCAGCTCACTGTGTCCAGGTCGAAAAAGTATATGAGTCAGCTCACTGTGTCCAGGTAGATAAAGTATATGAGTCAGTTCATCTCTACCAAGCACTCGCCAATAAACACTGTCAAACTCCTCTACTCTCTCTCTCTCTCTCTCTCTCTCTCTTTCTCTCTCTCTCTTTCTCTCTCTCTCTCTCTGGCCATTTTCCTTCAATTGCTCAACACACAGGAGCAACTTCTGTTTACATTACCCAATATATCTAACCTACACAATATACATTCAGATACACCCACTACACTTATTTTTCAGTATCCATCAACACTTAAATATTTCCACCTTCCACCATCCACGTACACCTCCCAACACCTCATATTCCTCTTCTTGCATTACTCGCAGCGTCACAAGTTATACATACAAAAGTAAGATCGAAAATCACCTGTAGACAGTCGATTGTTCAGGCGACCCAACTCGACACAGCATGCGGATGAAGCCACAGGCGTCAAGAGGCCGCCCCGTGCTCACAGCGTCATGCATGTCTAGATGTACACACGCTTCATGCCACAGTGTTTTTACTGACGTCAACATAGAGGGAAATACCCAGTATATGTTCCTTGAATTTGAGCAAGAGATGATGATATTGTCCTAGTACTGTAAAACCGTAACAACAGCAACAACAACAACAACAACAACAACAACAACAACAACAACAACAACAACAACAACAACAACAACAACAACAACAACAACAACAACAATAATAATAATAATAATAATAATAATAATAATAATGATTTAGGATGCCTATTATTAACCCTAGCTGTCTATTAGTAACCGTATTTCTCTATTGGTATCTCAAGCTTCTATAATAATTGCATTATAAATTAGGGGAACAATAACAGAAAGGGTGTAATAGGAGGGATTGGAAGTTAGGAAATGGTGAAATCACTGAGTATCACCTAACCACGTATCATAATGGAGCACAGGGATGATATCATTGACGTTAACTAAACATAGACCGAGTTACATGACGGGGAGACCAGTTACCTCAGAACTAAATATAAATCTGGAAAAACCAACTTAAGTCTCTCACCCACAAGACACCAGACCACTGTACCAAATAACAGATGTTCACTACCCACACAAGAAAAACTTGAAGGACTTTTACTTGGCCGACTCATACTCCTGTGTTTCCCCATGCTGGGAAATAGTTAATGCTCGAGCCAGACTCTTTGCTTGGACACATACAAAACAGCATGACACATGTAACACAACATGACATACAAACACACACACACACACACACACACACACACACACACACACTACATCCTTGACCACCGAAGGGTCAAGACATACCTGGCGCTCCTCTCGGAGCAGCCAGGTCAACTGTTAAGTTGGCCCATACCAACCCCCTCCCCTGAACCCTCCTCCCCACCGGAATATCAACAAGTTCTCGCCAGAAGTTACAATTTCATTTAGGAAAGGAACGGAACCAGTGTTAAACAGAGGTGAACAGTGGTGAACAGTGCTTAAGTCAGTGAGAACAACTCAACAGTAACAGTCGTACCCAAGTTAACCTTCACACAGTGAGGTCCCAGGTACCCAGTGATAACGGCCCCCGCGAGACCCAACAACAACCACTGATGTGTTAATCCGTCTACGATAGGAAGGCCTGGGACCAAACCTCACTCATATAACACCATCTGTGAGGGAATTACTACACCACATGTCCCTCATAACACCATATGTGAGGGAATTACTACACCACGTCAAGTCCCTCATCACACCATCTGTGAGGGAATTACTACACCACGTGAGGTCCCTCATAACACCATCTGTGAGGGAATTACTACACCACGTCAGGCCCCTCATGCCCCTCATAACACCATCTGTGAGGGAGTTACTACACCACGTGAGGCCCCTCATAACACCATCTGTGAGGTAATTACTACACCACGTGAGGTCCCTCATAACACCATCTGTGAGGGAATTACTACACCACGTGAGGTCCCTCATAACACCATCTGTGAGGGAATTACTACACCACGTGAGTTCCTCCTAACACCATCTGGGAGGGAGTTACTACACTACGAGTTTGCTGTTCAACACCTACATTAATATGTATGTTCACTGTATGTTCCTTTACCTTTCTCTAATGAAGGCTTTTGTTAAACCACCAATGTATGTAATAAGTCATTTATGTCCAATGTATATTTTCAGCCTTCGGGCTGCAGAATTTTCAATAAACCGTTATTATTATTATTATTATTATTATACACACACACACACACACACACACACACACACACACACACACACACACACACACACACAACATACACATACAGCACAACATAAAACACACACAACATGACACACACACAACATGACACACGCAGCACAGCATGACACACACACAACAACAACACAACATGACACGCACACAACACGACGTAACACACACAACACAACATAACACGCACACACACAACACAACATGTCACACACACTAGTACTACATTTGTGTCATTTGGAATCGAGTATGACGATCATCCAGCTATGATACAATGATATGAGTTAGTAGGGATGTCACCTTTATTGATGAGTTGTGAGGAGACGAAAGAGGCTGATACAGAACGGCAGGGTCGTTCACATTCGTTGCACATGTGGAGGGCTGCATCGTCTTTTCGGCGCTGGAGCTTGTCTGCCTCGGTTTGCCGTAGGGCTAACTCGAAATTATTGACAGGTGAGGGGGTTTGTCTGAAGACTATCCTTATACCTTTTCATTAATTGCCCATCGGCATTACGTTTACTATTCGTTAGGGGACTGTAAAGTAGCTGCTTTGGCAGTCTACTGTCGTCCATGCGCGTAACATGACCCGTCCAGCGTAGTTGTTCATTGATAATGGTCGCCTCGATGCTCCTACATGAGGTGTCAGCAAGAATACTGGCATATGTTCTCTTTTCTTCCCAGCGAACTCGGAGGATGGAACGTAGACTACGTTGCTGGACGTTTTCAAGTACATTGAGGTGCCTCCTGTATGTGACCCATGTCTCACTGCCATATAGCAAGATGGGGAACACCACTGCTCGATATATGAGCAACTTTGTAGATAATTACAGCTCCCTACAGCTAAAGACAAGGTTTCGGAGTCTGCCAAAGGCTTGAGATGCACAACTGGGGCAGAATCCTACTGTATTTTAGGCGGAATTCTACCGTATTCTGGGGCGGAATTCTATCTTATTCTGCGGCGGAATCCTACCGTATTCTGTGGCGGAATCCTATCGTCTTCTGAGGCAGAATCCTGCCCTATTCTGGGATGTAATCCTACTGTATTCTGAGGCGGAATCCTACCGTTTCCTGCAGCGGAATCCTACTGTATTCTGAGACGGAAGCCTACTGTACTCCAGGCGGAATCCTACTATATTCCGAGGCGGAATCATACTGGATTTCTGAGGCGGAATCCTACCGTATTCTGAGGCGGAATCCTATTGTAATCTGAGGCGATCTACCGTCTCCTGGGCGGAAGCATACCGTATTCTGAGGCGGAATCCTCCCGTATTCTGAGGCAGAATCCTACCGTATTCTGAGGCGGAATCCTCCCGTATTCTGAGGCTGAATCCTACCGTCTCCTGAGGCAGAATCATACCGTATTTTAGGCGGAATTCTACCCTATTCTGGGGGGGAATTCTACCGTATTCTGGGAATCCTACAGTATTCTCAGGCAGAATCCTACAGTATTCTGAGGCGGAATTTTACCGTCTACTGGAGCGGAATACTACCGTATTCTGAGGCGGAATCCTACCGTTTCCTGTGGCAGAATCCTATCGTATTTTAGGCGGAATCCTACCCTTTTCTGGGGCGGAATCCTACCTTATTCTGAGGCGGAATCCTACCGTATTCTGAGGCAGAATACCGCCCTATTCTGGGACGTAATCCTACCGTCTTCTGGGGCAGAATCCTACCGTATTCTGAGGCGGAATCCTACCGTTCTGCGGGGGAATCCTACCGTCTCCTAGAGCGAGATCCTATCGTATTCTGAGGCAAAATCCTACTGTCTCCTGGAGCAGAATCCTACCGTAATTTAAGAGGAATCCTACCCTATTTTGGGGCGGAATCCTACCGTATTCTGGGGCAGAATCCTACCGTCTTCTGGGGCAGAGTCCTACCCTATTCTGGGACGGAATCCTACCGTCTTCTGGGGCGGATTCCTACCGTATTCTGAGGCGCAATCCTACCGTATTCTGAGGCGGAATCCTACCGCCTCCTGGAGCGGAATCCTACCGTATTCTGAGGTTGAATTCTACCGTCTCTTGAACATGCTGATTTCGAATATAAGGTCCACAATTCGATTGCGGGGTAATTAGTGGTCGTAATGATGTTTAGAATATTTAATGACGTGTTTCATTGCTAATTACTCGCCAACTATGGGTTTCCAGAGTACGATTTTGGTGTAATGTGTTATTCTGTAAGTACTTAATTAATTAAACCCCATAAATTTCAATTCTGCGAACAAAGATATTTTGGGCGAAAAATTACTAAGTGGTAAAGCTTATAGTACAGCGGCATAACCAAACAATTGTGCATTTTCTGATGAAAGCATTAACTTTTAAGCACAAGATATAGAGCAATACATGCAGAATATTTCAGATGGCGGAACCACTAGAAACTCATCTTCTGTGGGCGCCATATTGAATTTCAAGATGGCTGCCGTTCAGATACACTAAACTATGTATTTCTGTTTTTACGGTTGTATTATTTCATTCCAATGCATCAATATACATAGTCCAGGTTACGAAAAATCATTTGAGATAGATTTTAAAGTTATTACAATGAAAGACAAGTAAAAATACAGACTGGAAAATTAACATACAAATTTTCCGAACTCCCAAACTTAGTAAATTTTATTATGAACATTCGGCTGTTGAGGCCGAATCTCTGTAGATATTTGGCCCACACACCTTCACATGCACACACAGTCCAGTGCATTTAAGAGCAGCTTTTTGCACTCACACTTGCCACCGCAGTAAGTGTTTTCTGTAAATCAAAAGAGATGAGCTCGTGGCATGATTCTTGACACTTCAGATAGTGTGGTCCAGTGGTTCCAGCTCATCTCCCAAGGACTTCATCCAACCCCAGTCACATGGTGATGGCGGCACTGACAACGCCATTGCGGCCTGTCCCGTGATATGTCCACAGCCTGATAAGCAGCTTTTATGTGCTGCTCCAGAGCGTTTTGTTGTGGAGATGCCCAGTGATCTTGGATTTTCTTGAAACAGCTTCTTTTCAGCACGTTCACGTCACAGCATGTGCTCGTACGGTCAAGTAGAACAGCACGATGACTCCCTCCAGTGTCGACAGGACACCATCAGGCAGTTTCCATTTCTGTAGTGTGAAGCCACACTGGAGGGAAGGCTATGGTTGTCACTTCCCGGAAATGGCTCCATGTGGCTCCAGGCTGTCTTCTTGCTGGTGACTCCGCAAAGGCAGATACCGTGTTGCAGCCCGTTATTGCGTGAAACACTGAAGAGTCGACTTTCAGGTC